AAGAAAGAAAGAAGGAAGGAAGGAAGGAAGGAAGGAAGGAAGGAAGGAAGGAAAGAAAGAAAGAAAGAAAGAAAGAAAGAAAGAAAGAAAGAAAGATAGTTAAATGTTTTTATGCCAAAATTGGTCATTACTCCATAACTAATCCACAGTGCATCTCTACCCTCCATTATTGAAACTGTCATATGCTTAACTCTAAAAGTATATTCTGACTAAATTTCTCCTTTTATATAGTATTAAAAGAAAAGCTATTTTGGTCCCAAGAACAGGGTTGTACATTATTTGTTAAAGAAGTTTGGTGCTTTAGCTCTTGCACAGTTTTTACATATGGCAAAACAGGACCAAAGTGCCACATGTTTATAGCCCTTTGAGGCTACAGCTCTAGGTGCAATAAACCTGCCATCTTACATGTTCATTTGATCCTCCAATCTTGATTCTTGGCAGTGGTGATTATTTAAGTACATTTTGTCCTTATACTTCTTTCAGTATAGCCAGGCAAATAAAAAAAATCTCTTTCTCTACAAAATTTTTTTGAGGCTGGACAAAGAAACTTAAAAATGAAGGACTTTGAACATGATTTTTCTACGGCATTTTGATGCTCAACACAAAATTTTGAAACAATAAATATTAACTCTGCTGGGAAACATTCTGTTGTGCTGGGACTACTCAGTCCTAAGAGCCTCAATAAGAGTATCAGGCAGGTAGGTTTGCATTTCTTTGGTGCATCCAGGTCCAAATGCTGCATTTCTAATTTTATTAGCTCCCCAGTCATCTGGACATTTGGGACACACATTTCCTCTGCTGGAGAAATGCACCTGTTACACATACATGTCTCTTATTTTAAATCTGAAAATAAAAAAGGTGGTGTACCATGAATATTTATTATTATATATTTGATTCATTCAATCACAAGTAGTTTTTTAATCCTAACTTTAAAAAATCAAGATATTCTTAAACCATAAGGAAAACATGAAGGGAAAATTTATATAAACTCATAAAAGATGGAATTATAGTTTTATAATTCTAACATAGGGAACTTAAATGTGTCTTAATCTATTTCCATCCTTTATTTCCTACTTATGGTGACCTAATAGCATAAATAAAATCCCTAAACTAAAGCTGATATGGCTTAGCACAAACTTTTTTAATAATCTAATAATAATTGAGGACCTTAATAAAGATCTTTTATATAGGTTATACCTATCAATATTTACTATATTAGAAGATTAGAAAATTCTAAAATATTGGGCAATTTAGAAAGTAACCCATTACACATTAATGTTTTGTGAAAAATGGATTTTAAAAACAAAAAGTGAGAAGTCTGTTTAATATTTTTTCAAATTTCCTAAATGTCTGACATAATAAAAGAGAAGATATTTGCTTCTGCATTCCATCAGTTAGAATGTGTTGTTTTAGTTGATGTATATGTAGAAAATCTTTTCTCACACAGATAGAAAGCTGGAAAGAGACTTTTGTAGATGTTCTTTGATTCTACACCAAAACTCAGTAAGAGATAATTTCTTAAAAGTTAACTGCAAAATGGAATATGCTACCAAACAATGCCCTTTTAGTACGACATTGTATTAAATCCATTACTTGCTATTATGAAATCAACCAGGAAAACCATTGGCAAGATTTATCAAGTTATGGGGCTGGGGAAACAGCTCAGCAGTCTAAGTGCCTCCTGCCAAGCACAAGGACTGAGTTCAGTCCCCAGTACCACAAAACCAGGCATGATGGCGCATGCCTGTAATCCCACCACTGGGGAGGCTGAGAAAGGTGGATTATTATGAACGAACATGAACTGCGTAGCGAGATCCTATAACAAACAAATAAAATTTTTAAAAAAGATTTATCAAGTTATCAAGTATGAGATGGTAAGTATGAGTTTTCCAAAAGTGTAATTTTTACTTAAAACTTTAATTTTGGGAGTGTTGTCACCTATTTCAAGTAATTTCTTCAAAAAGAAAGCTATTTCTTTCATTTTTTTTCCCAAGAAAATGTCTGCCAAATGCTTAAGCCTAACAAATTATAATTTGTAAGTTTCTTTCTAATAAGACTAGAAAAAAAGCTATATGAAAAAAGCATCTAGTTCAGTATGTAATTCAGAAAATCACACAAATGCTTTTCTTGAGGCAAACACAAATTTACTGTGTTATCAAAATGTTTTATGCATGTTTTCCATTTTGCCACTTAGGATACTATAAAGAAACAAACTAAAAAGTTGAAGCTCAATAGTCAATGTTTACGCACTATTATGGGCATTCTAAGTGAAGCTGACTTTTGTATACTGAGTGTATTGTAGGGGAAGACTCAAATGCTGTATCATAGTAGTTTGATGCTACTGCCTAATTTTACACTCAGACAAAAGCAGTGTTTTCACCACTGCTTGTTCATCAGCAATGCAAATGTTAATGGAGAAAAAGGCAAATAACATGGTATTATATAGAAGTAATTTTTTAAAAATGTATTTGGTACAAGGTCTCACTATGCAGCTCTGACTCATAGTGGTCCTTCTGTTTTCAGCCTCCCCAGTGCTGGGATTACAGATGGTTGCCACCACACCCAGTCTCAGTGGCTGGATCAGCGTGTCCAGGGGCAGGGCCAGCACAGCATGTGGTGCTGGAAATTGGACCCCAGTCCCTGCACTTGCCTACACAGGTGCTTGGTTGGCTGAGCTATCTTGACGGCCCTAAAAATAGTTCTGAGATTAAAAAACGCTTACAGAAGGGGTCATGGGCACTACCAAGTTTCTTCAGGACATTAAGAGCCATTGGCTTATGTAATTCAATAACTTTAAACAAAAAATATTTTATGTTTCCTAAAATGAAATTTGTAGTATTTACATACTCTTCTTTAGTTCAAGATGTAACAGTAAAGACCCAAGAAGATTATTTTCTTTGCTTCCTTTTTTTTTTTTTTTAAAAAGTTATTTGTTTTTGACACAGGATCTTGTATAGCCCAGGATGTCCTGAACTCTTGGCCATCCTCCTGTCTCAGCCTCCTAAGGGTGGTGGCCATCCTCCTCCACCATGCTCAGCTAAGAGCACTCTAAAATAACTACATGATAAAGAGAGAGAGAAAGACAGAGAGAAAAAGGAAAAAAGCCTTTAAGAGATGTTAAATTTAGTCAGGAGTTGAATCTCAATAAAGAAGGAAAATAAACATTATTTAATTGCAGAGTTCCAACCTTTGTACTATGTCAGAACCATTTACAATTAGACTACACACACTGCATATTACCAATGTCTTACCTTGGCTCTAGAGGAACTGACATTTTCCATATTTTCAATGCTGCAGATACAATTCTGTGAAACTTTCCGGCAAGCCACTCTGATATAGTCCCAGAAGCTACGAGGACTTTCATAACCAAACCAGGTTACTTGACCTTCAGGAGATAAATTGCAATATAAAAATAAAAGAAAACTATACTAGAAAATTCAAATTGTAAGAACAGCACAAACCTGAAAAATAAGGGGTAATACAGTGCATTATTGTGGAGATAGGACTTACCTAGGTGTCAAAAGCCTTAAATATAGTTCCATCGTATATTTAACTTGGGAAAATTGACTTAGTCTGGATCCTAGGTTCCTCAACAATAACAATCAAGCTAAGTGAAATAAAGAAACTAGACACTGAAAATATCTTGCATCTTGATATCTTATTATCTAAATCTTTTAGACAGTACATAGGAAATCTTATTTGTGTTTCCTGAATACTAAGTTGAACAATGGTTTACATTTAACCAGCTAAACTCTAAATCTTCTACCTTGAAAAATTGACAACCTCTTCATCTGGGAGGAAAAGAGTATGTTAAAACATGAAACAATGTGCGATCCATATTATAACAAAGTAAGATAAATTAGAACCCCATATTCACCAGTGAGTTGCAATTCTCTACCCAAGCATTTTCATCTAAAAATCCATCACTCACTTGCTCTCATTTAGTCACTAACCCATAAAAAATATTTCAGCCATTCAACATTCTCATCTTTCAGCAAAAAGGTATATATTCTGTATACCTTTTACCAGTATCAACACCTCTATATAGGACTCTAAGTAGTACGCCCATGGGAACCGTTCTGTACACTTACTATTCCTGAATAAGATATAAGAGGCATTTCAATACTTTCTTTACTAGCCCAGAGTGATTAATCTCATTGAGGGAAGTTGCAAAATCTTAACACAGAAGGATGTATGTTATATTTTACATTTTAAGTATGTGCTTCATTTTGATTTAATAATACATATGCTAAATCTTCCCTTCCCCGGTAATAACTTCTCTTAGAGACATCAAAAACTATTCTTGTCAGCAAGCACCATTTTAAGAGTGATTTCTGAAATGTTATCCAAGTAGTTCCCAACAATAGAAGCACATTAGAATAACAAGATCACTTTTTAAAAAATTTAGGAGCTTGGCCTTCCTGCAAACTGAATAAATAAATCACTAGGGAAAGCTAAAGCACTGGCATTTTTTTTAAAAAGGTTCCACTGATATTTCTAATGATGTATTCATAGCTAATCAACCAATAGAAATTCTAAAAATCATGATTATACATTCAGGACATTTTTTTAAAAGCCTCCCTTTCTTTCACACACAGTAAGCCAGGTATGATCTCTACAATTAGTCCCCCTGTTGGCCCAATACTATGTGATTATTCATTTTCATAATTCTTTATTTGGTTACCTTCATATTAGATGATAAAACCCCTAAGGCAGGAATTATGCCTTGTCTTTAGACCAATCTCCAAACACTTGACACCATGTTTGATTCACAACAGACATTCAATAAATATTGAACAATGAATTGGCAAATCAGCACAAACAGATCATCTTAAGGACAGCAAACATAACAACTTGTATTTTTAAGATTCTACTAGAAGGCCGGTGAGATAGCTCTACGGACTAAGTGCCTGCTTTGGCAAGCAGAGGGACCACGGTTTGATCCCTGTCCCACAGGCTGCACAGACCCTAACCTCCAGGGTGCACTGCGGGTGTGGTGATGCACATCTGTAATCCCAGCTCTGGGGAGGCTGAGACAGGAGGACTACTACAGGTTCGAGCTATTAACAAGACCCTGTACCAAATAAATAAACAAATAATAAATACAAGATTTCTAAAAATTTAATATTTTGGGTTATTCTATAATTTCAAACTCATAGGTATAGCTACCAGACTTCCCTTAAGAAATACAATAATATACATTGCCAATGAAAAATGAAGGTGTCACAAGAATCTCTCTTAGAGACAGTATAAAAACAGAAGTTAGAGAAGTAGATGAGGAAAAGGCTCCACTCTATTAACTCGCAGCAATGGCACTGGTAGAATCCCAGACAGGTAAACAAGGAGAAAGGTCAACATAAGATTCCCATGATCAAAAGTGTTTCTTTTGTAAGGAAATCTCCTAGCACTGTTGCATAGGGCAGGATTTGATTTTTTAATTAATACAATTTTAAATTTTTATGTCAATGTCACATGGCTGAGGAAAATAAT